CCACTAGCCCCTATCATGCATGCCCCACCATCCCTGCCTGTTTCGGACGGATTTCCCATGGATTTCCCACCCCTCCTGCCCCCCGCAGGCCTACCCAACCCTGCCCCACCCCTGGGAGGGTTGTTTGGTCATTTATTTACCCTCTCCCGTCCCCAAACAAATCCCTATGGCCCCAGCATCCCTGGCAAACTCACCCCAGCAGCCTCGGAAAACCTGACTGCTCAAACACAGTCTGGACATGTGAGGTCACACTGGCTAAACACAGGGTTTGATATAGATTTTTAGCTGACATGGCTGGTCTCGTCACCTACCTCCTTGCCTTCCTCCTGCGTTGTATGCAGAGCCACAGCGTCGAAAAGACGAGGTGTAACGCAGTACGACGGATTTGGAATTGCAGTGAGGTTGTAAGGGTGAGGACGGGGGTAGATGGTGGATCGACGAAGAGGCATCAACACACCCCACCGAGTGCAATGATGTCAAACACAGGAGGACGACAGCACCTGTGAGGGCATGTCCATGGCCAGAGAGGACAAGGACGCCAGGGTGACAACCTGCACCTGCATCAAACAGCCCAGTGGCGGAGGGTGTGAGGGGAGAGGTGTAGAGGCCACGCACAAGGCATAGCACCCCATATGTCATACAGGGCAGACCCATGCAGTAGGAGGGCCGCAAGGTGAGTGGCAGCCACAATGCTGCTTTGTCAACTCACCAACCACACAGCCCCCTCCTGCCTCTCCTTTCCATACAAAAGGACATGTTGCCCTTGTATGAGGAATGACGGCGACACCCCACCCCGCCCTATTCCGCAGTGGGCACCTGTACCACTGAGCCACGCCCTCGCTTCCCTTGCACCCACCTACAGACCAGGAGCACAAGCAGGGGAAGAAGATGACCAGGGCCGACCACGGCATGAGGACGACTCCAGCATGAGGACGGCTGCGGCATGACAATGACAACAAGGATGCGCCACAATGACAACGACAGCACGACAACAATGACAACGACAATGATGGTGCAAGGACCACCATGGCATGAGCATGAGCGAGCGTGACATCAAGCCAAGTGCCACCCACCATGAGGTGAGGGTAAGCAGGAACATGACCGATCCCACCTGAGCAGAAATGGCGTGTTCACGGCACACCATTTCTGCTTGTTTTCTCTCTATCTCACAGGGGGTGGCTCTACCAGCCACCTGCATAGTGTATTTATTTTATTACAATTTAATATCATTTTTTTGTCATTTTTGGGGTGCTCTGAATATGCCCAAGCTCGCCAGACCCGAGCCATCTAAAAATAACCGACGCGTGAATAAGGCCATGTCATCCAAAAGACCCCCACCCAATCCAGCCTATCCCACCGCCCCAATGGCAGGGGAAATGGTGCACAACGATGAGGAAATATGTTTCCTCGTCTTTGGCACCTTTTCCCCACCGAAAATGGGGGTGGGAGCACCACAAACGACAAGGAACAGTGTCTGGGCACTGTTTCCTGCATTGCTTGCATGTGTTGATAGGTCCTGCCCACAGCCACAAGCCCCGGCACATCCAGCAAGGCCATCCCAATGAACTCCAGTAGGTGGACTGTAAAAACACAGTCCTGATCTATGAGGCTACCTTGTAAAAATACAGTATCTCATACATTCTTGTAGCTGATAGAAGTGCCGTGTCCGTGCACATGTGGTCATAGTCGTTGTCACTCCTCGTGCGTCGTCGCAATTCCTCATCCGTTGCTGTCTTCGTCCTCGCTTGCTTGTGCTAACCATTGTTGCTGTTGCCCTTCATGTCCCGCACCCGTGCTAGTTGCGTCCTCGTCATTCTGCTGTCACCCTTGCTGTGCCGGGTTGTGTTCAGCCTTGCTAGTCCATGCCCACCATTGTACTACCACCATCCTGTCCCCACTTGACTGTTCTATTGCACCCCAAATCTGTCATACAACATTGCGCATCATCTCTTGGATGATGTGGCTCTGCGTACGACGCAGGAGGGGGCAAGGGGGTTGGCAAAGGTGGGACAAGGGGAGGGTGGTGTTCTCTTGGCTGCGGTCATGGCCGATCCCGCTCCTTGTGGTCTCACTCTCGCTTGCTCCTTCTCATCGTCATGGTGGGCTCTGCGTACAATGCAAGAGGGGGGAACGGAGGTGGCAACAAGGAGGAAACAAGGGTGGGGGTGCAGACCAGCAGCGGCAGGTGGTCGTGGTGCAGTTGTGGAAAAGAAACAACAGCACGTGCTGATCACAATGGACTGTCAAGGAAGGGTGCATCGGCATCGTCTGTGCGACTGCAGATGGCGCCAATCATCCCCGCACGGGTTACAGGAGGTGGGTCAGCAACCAACATGTGGGACAGAGTGCAGCTACGCACTTGGGTGAGTTTGCGACTCGTATTCGTCATGCCCATGCCCATCCCACCAACCCTCTGCTTCTGTCTGCTTGCTGGTTTCAGTGTGCCTGTCCAGTGTGTCTCGTCTCACCATGTGTTCTCCTCATGTGCCATACTAATTGTGCATGGGATCGTCATTGCCCATTATATTCGTGCTGCTTCCAGTCGCATGACCAAGAGAGAGTGAAAGGAAACAGCGAGATGGCGAATGGGAGGTGCTGCCATCGCCACCTCGCCATCTTCCTTTCAGGGAATCAAGCACCCACATCCCTTGTTGAAGGGGAGGGGCACACGGTGGCGATAGAGTGGGTGGCGAGGTGTTGAGGGTGTTGGGGGCCCACGAGTTGGGCATTTATAGGACCAGGCGAGAGAAGAGAGAGGGGCAAACATCACATGAAATGCAGTTATGCTGGCCCACATCCCTGTCATGAGGGGAGGGGCACGCGGCAAGGTGGGTGTTGTGCAGGCAAGGGGGGGTGCCCTGAAGTGATAGAATATGTAAGTAAGTAGTTTTAATGATAGAGAATGTCAATACGTACCTTATATGCAATGAGCACAAGCATAGTAGCTCATCTTGAGTCGTCAGGACATGCTAGGTGGTGGTTGAGAACATTGTTCAACACTTTCTCAGAAATTCCCATGTGCGATCTGATTGGCTGAAGTTGCCGGCCTGTCTAGGCACAATTTTGAGCAGGATGTTGTTGACGTCCTCAAAGGGCATCAGCAGCTGGTTTCTGCAAAATAATTATAGAATCAACTTATATGTAAATTAGGAACAATTTCTGATACTTGAATGGCTTGAATTCGTGTGAATATACTGGAGATGAGTAAGTGAAGTGTTGGTGCTTCAGATAACAACGAAAATCTTACTGCTGAAGTGAGCACTTGAAGATTGTGACATTTAAAATCAGGGAATGCTTTGGAGGAAGCCTAAATACTGTAGAGGACATATGTCAAATTTAAATCCTCAAGTAAAGAGTTTATTTTCACTGTTGTATGCAAGGTATGTTTTTGTGCAATAGACCAAAATCACCACACATACTTTGTATGAGCTATATTCAGAGCTCAATTGTAGTGTGATCTCTTCAAAATTTTGTGTAAACATTTAAATTTATGTAGAGGAAAATATCTGATCATTATTATGTGGTTGAGTGACCGGTGTATGAGCACAGAAACATCCTGTTTCTCAAGAGGTGGAAGATGGGGCTTGGACTGAGGGCACAACAGCCAATCGGACCACCTACGGTAATGGCTGAAAAACGATCAACGATGCTTGTGCATTGTTGATCATTGTCGTTGATGGCCATCCTCGTCCCCCAGCACCTCGTCCGTTGCCCATCCAGCCCCAAAAACGTGTCAAACAGGTATGTGAAGTATTTACTAATGTTTTATGGACTAATAAAGGTGTTTTTCAATAGTGGAATTCCCCTGTGTCGCAGATGATGTGACCCTCGACTCAGACCCGGCTGTGTGCCCCTCCCCTTCTCTAGGAATGTGGGCTGGCTTCTTGCATGCACACTCCCTCAACATCCCACTACCACCCACCCCCTGGATCTCGATCCCACCTGCCACTGCCCACCCTGCCCTTGCTTGCTCACCTATGCTGACTCCCATCAATGCTCCACCATCGTCAACAACATCCACAACCCAAACCCCACCTTTTTGCAAGCAAGATGCAGACGCCAAAGGGAAATAGAGCAGAGGGTGCAACCCATCCTTACGCATTCACCATCTCTCCATCTCGCCGTCACCGCAACCCATCAAACATCGTCACACACCCCGCCCCACCTCTTGACCTTGACCGTCCGACTGTGTCTCCCCCCTTCTCCTCCAACTCCCGAGCCACCCTCTTCTACGATCACACCTACCACCCAGCTACGATCTGAGAGGACGACAACACGGCAGAGGCATCAGAGGCATCAGAGCAACCAGCCATGTAAGCTAGAAAAATATAGAATACAAGGCAGTTTCCTAACTATGAATTTAAGCCCTGGAGGGCAATATGCTACCTTCCGCTTTGGGAAGGCTCTCCTAATAAGAGGGAGGGGTTGCCGGGTGCCCGGCATCTGCAAGGATGATAGG